CCGCCGGGCCGAAGCGGCGGGAGGCGCGACGTCCCTCACCGCGGCCAGCCCGCAGCAGAGCCGGGGGGCGTCTCCAGTCACCTGGTGTGCCCAGGGGTGGATGCCACCCGCGGAGAGCACCTTCGCAGTGGAAAGGGGGGGTGCAGCTGACCGCCGCAAGAAACAAGTGAGGGGGGTGCAGCTGACCGCCGCGAAACACCATTTACATCGTGGGGGGGTGGCAGAACCTCGCCGCTGCGGTCCCAGCTGGAGTGTGCCAGCGGCAGAACGCGCCTCATGGGGGGGGGTTCGTGTGCCGCAGCCGTACGCACCGTAGCTGAAGCTGCAAACTAGGTCCTGGACTCCCGGTCGGGCGGCGTGCAGGGGGGGGAGCTATTTCAGACGACTTCCCCCTGCCACCGAGAGAGGGCGGCTGTCACGGCTGGACAGCAAAGGGGGGTGCGCAGGGGGGGATGCATCTGCTGCCGCCCCCTTGTCACCGAGAGAGAGTGGCTGTCGCCGTGGGGCAACAAAGTAGGTGATCCCTGGACCGGTGAGGCCTGCGGGCTAATCTCCAGCTGCTGAAGGGGGGTGAGATGTCCAGGCAAGGTCCACTTCTCCAGTGTGGGCTGTCTAGCTATGCTGCGCCATGGGTGAGATGTGGGGAGACCCCCGCCCCAGCGGGAGTTGCCCCAGGGTATTGCGGCCGAGGCCAGGCGCTGCGAGGTGAAACCATCCCCAGCGGGGAGAGGTGTGGGTGAAGTGGGGGGGGGAGGCGTAGGCGACGGGCCGGGAGGGCAGGGGGCGCGCTGACAGGCCGACCGGACCCTGCTAGCCCTGGGCGTGCGCGTCCTCCCTGCCCCACCATCGGGCGCGCTTGTCCGTGTATCGATCGTCTCCCCTGGGGGAGTGACGCTTACCTTTCCCTTTCCATTCCGTTTCCGTCCACGGTGCTTTCTGGTGGCCCCAGGAATTCCACTCCTGCCAGCCCTGCCACCAGGTGGGGGTGGCAGAGCCGACGGCACCTGCCCATCGATCATGCGCGGCCGCCGCCGTGGCTGACCTGCCTTCTGCCGTCCATGGGGCGGGTCCACTGCTGCTGTCGGGCCCGCTCTGAGCGTGGGTTCTGGGTTCGCGTTGCAGGAGCTTCATGTGCTTGTCCTTGACCGACGGCCAGTGGACGTTGAACCCTAAGTCGCTGTCCATCTTGTAGGCGTCGTACCCTGCGTCGTCCCACGCCTGGAGGAATTCGCTGCGCGACTGACTTGTGTTCCGTTTAGGGTCGTGCTTTTCGCTTCCGTTGGTCCCCTGCCTCAGGGCAGCCCTCTTCACCCATGCGGCCCAAACTCCATTGAACGCTCCCCCCAGCGTTTGTTGCAGGCGTATTATTTTCTCCTGCACGGGTTCTTTCTTCGTAACGTCAGCATCGGTGACGGGGCACATGTACATGGGGATGCCTCCCATGGGGTCGCTTGGGTCTTCTCGGGGTGGCTGTGTGGTCCTTACGTCCTTCCAGGGCGCCTCGCAGATCTGCAATCGCGCTGGGTCGCTTCTTGGGGATTTGGTGGCACGGCCATCCCCGTCCTTGGTGTCTTCCCACACGGGTCGCTGGCGGCCCTTGTCACCGCTCGCGCGGCTGAGGGTCCGGTCATCCGTGGCGTCGCTGATGCTCCAGGTTGCGCTGTCTGCTCTTTGTGGGCTGTCTCTCACGCTCCTGACTACACGGATGGCGTCCCTATCAACGATCCGATCGTATGGGGACCAGGCGTCGGGCCTGTTGGGTGGTTCCTGGAAGAGTTTGAGGGGGTCAGGGCCGTCCTCTTCTCTCTCGTCCGCCACCGGGGTTGGGCTGAGCTCCGGGCTCGGGTCCTTGGCTGTGTCTGACTCGCTTTTCTTGTCCCCGTCCCCGCCCCAGTCGATCCCATCCGTCCTCGCATACACGATGCATCAGCGATGCTGCAGTATACCTCCCGTCCCAAGTCCTCTCATTATCTGTCCACGGAAAGATGTACTTTCACTACGGCGAGTGTCCGCCTGTAAGGAAATCTCATGCGTGCGAAACGCCAGGACAGCCCTAACGACACGCTTGGTGGTGTGACGACGAATAATCTCTTTCAAGGGAGAGGGGTGGACGAGTAAAAAACAACGCTATCGTGTGCTGCAGTTCAATCGCTGGGCGAAGACACCGGAAGGCAGTGGAACAATGGGGGAAAAAGGGAAATGACCAGAAAGGGATGGAGAAATAAGAAACAGGGGGAGGAAAGACAAGTGGAGCCATCTCTCCCCCTCTCCTCCCCCTCTCCTCCTCCTCCTCCTCCTTCTCCTCCTCCTCCTCCTCCTTTGCTCCTCCAATCCCTCGCCTTCCTCCTGGCTCTTACCTGCCTCCTCCCCCTCATCTTCATCACTTCCCTCTCCCTGCCTCTTTGCTTACTCTGTTTTTTCCCTCTCTCCTTCCTTCACTCTCACCCCCTTTTCCATTTGCTCGCCTCGCTCCCTCACTATATATATATATATATATATATATATATATATAGATTTCCAAACCATCCTGTGGTGCTGGGTCCTCGTTTTGAGGAGACAGTGCTCCGCGTTCCTCTCTCTCTGCTTCCTCCTCCGCCCATTTTGGCAAAACCCCTACACGTTTCGCGACCCCATAGGGAGCCCCACCGAAGGCCCACGTGTCAGCGTTCGCATGCGCCCACCGCACCCATTTTGGCACACCCCTCACACGTTTCGTTGCCCCATAGGGAGCCCCACAGAAGGCCCAACTGCGAGCGTTCGCAGGCGCCCACCGCACCAATTGTGGCACACGCCTCACACGATTCGTGGCCCCACAGGGACCCCCACCGAAGGCCCAAATGCCAGCGTTCGCAAGCGCCCACCCCACCCATTTTGGCACACCCCTCACATGCGTTGCCCAACAAGGGGCCCCACCGAAGGCCCACGTGTCAGCGTTCGCATGCGCCCACCGCGCCCATTTTGGCACACGCCTCACACGTTTCGTTGCCCCACAAGGAGCCCCACAGAAGGCCTAAATGCCAGCGCTCGCGTGCGCAATCCACACCCATCTTGACACGCCACCCCTCAAACGTTTCGTGGCCGCATAGAGAGCCCCACTGGAGGCCCAGGCCAGCGTTGGCATGCGCCCACCGCGCCCATGTTCGCACACCCTTCACACGTGCCGTGGCCCCACAAGGAGCCCGACCGAAAACTCAAATGACAGCGTTCACATGCGCCCACCCCACCCATTGTGGCACACCCCTCACACGTTTCGTGGCCCCATAGGGAGCCCCACAGAAGGCCCAACTGCCAGCGTTCGCAGGCGCCCACCGCACCAATTTTGGCACACGCCTCACACGTTTCGTGGCCCCATAGGGAGCCCATGGGAGCCCCACCGAAGGCCCAAATGCCAGCGTTCGCATGCGCCCACCGCGCCCACGTGGCACACCCCTCACACGTTTCGTTGCCCCACAAGGAGCCCCACAGAAGGCCCAAATGCCAGCGCTCGCGCGCGCCCACCGCGCCCATTTTGGCACACCCTTCACACGTTTCGTGACCCCACAGGGGGCCGGACCGAACACTCAAACGCCAGCGTTCGCATGCGCCCACCGCGCCCATTCTGGCACGCCCCTCAAACGTGCCGTGGCCCCATCAGGGACCCCCACCGAAGGCCCAAATGCCAGCGTTCGCATGCGCGCCCCCCACCCATTGTGGCACACCCCTCACACGTTTCGTGGCTCCATAGGGAGCCCCACCGAAGGCCCAAATGCCAGCGTTCGCATGCGCCCACCGCACCCATTTTGGCATACCCCTCACACGTTTCGGGGCCCCACAGGGAACTCTACATAATGCCCAAATGCCAGCGTTCGCATGCGCCCACTGCACCCATTTTGGCACGCGCCTCGAACGTTTCGTGGCCCACCGACGGCCCACATGCCAGCGTTCGCATGCACCCACCGCGCCCATTTTGGCACACCCCTCACACGTTTGGTAGCCTCACAGGGAGCTCCACCGAATGCGGTGCATAGAACGACGGAACCGCAGATGCTTGGGCTTTTCGCAAGCTTTTTTTTTTTTTTTTTTTTTTTTTTTGTTTTCTCTCTCTCTCTCTCTCTTTTCGTTCCCTCCTTCTCTCTCCTTCTCTCTCCTTCTCTCTCCTCCTCTTCCTCTCCTCGCCCACCTCTCTCTCGCTCTCATCCCCGGGCCCCCTTCCTGCTCATCTCCAAGCGGGAGGGTTGAGGATAGGGAAGACAAGGTGACCACATTGGGGAGAGCAATGATGAAATGCCTGTCGCGACGCATTGTTTGCCATTGCCAGGATTCAACCGTGGACTCCTGTTCGAAACCAGCAAGAAACGGTAGGAAGTGGAGGACGAGGACGACGAGAAAGGGACGAGGACAGTTTGTCACGTGATATGATTTGTGGTCCATCGAACGGTCGTTCACTAGTTGATGTTCTCCAAACATCTCGCCTTCCACCATTCTTTGTCGATGTCGATGCCGCACGGACTTTGACGTGGACCAGACTCCTGCTCTTGATGGTGCTCAAACGCCAGTCCCGGTTCGAAGAAGTCACAAGCGAATTCAAAACCAAGAAATCTGGACGACACCACGCAAGCATGTGTTCGGATGGGGGCAGCACCCAACAACCAAGCAATTCGAACACGCGAGTGAATTCGTACGCAATTTTTACGTCGGGCACCGATTCACTATGACATGCATCCGACTGCCCAGGGGGAGGCAGCACCAGGAGAGAGCGAATGTCGGCGAGGCGGTCCAGACACGAGCGCGCCCTTGCAGCTGTGGGGGCGGGACCCCTTCACCTTACCTCCTCTCCTTCCCCTTCCCCCCTTCCCCCCTTCCACCCCCTCCCTTTCCCCTTCGCCGCCCTTCCCTTCCCTCCTTTCCCCATCTCCCCCTCCCATTCTCCCCTTCCCCTGCCCCTTGCGCCTTCCCCTCCCCCCCCCTCCCTCTTTGTCCCTCCCCCCCCCGCGCCAAGCGGGCGAGGCCGACCGCGCGCGTCACCCCACGTCCATGCTGTCTGCGCCGCCTTCCCGGACGACCGCGTGGGCGACGAGGATCCGCAGAAGGAAAGGACGGAAGAGGAATGCGGGGAGGAGGAACGGCGGGCGGAGGGGGAGGGGACGGTGGGGATTGGGGGGGAAGGGAGGAGGAGGGAAAGGAGGAATGGGAGGGAGGAGCGGGAGGGCAGGGGAGGGGAGAGAGGAGGGGGAGCGGGAAATGCGAGCTTGGGCGCTGCTGACCTCGCCTGGTGCACGCGAGGGAAGAAGACGAGGTGATGCCATAACACACATGTATACACATAACATTGGCATCGGCAGACTGAGCACCGGGAGGGGCGTGCTTGCATGTGCATGTGCGACAGCACGCATATCTGCTACCACCCTGTCTGTCACACCGCGCCCACGAACAACGACCATTCAGGAGCTCACTAGGCTATTTCAGCATTGGTGTTGGGACCTATCCTGACGTGACGGCTCGACCTTTCGCCGGCTCAGGTGTTCAGGTGTGTGCTCAACGCTCTTCTTGATACTGCGTATGCGGCCCATTGCGTCTCTGCGCACGCAGGTCAACACTTACTCAGCTGATTGGGCTCTATGAGTGCTGATCTCGGCTTGAGAACGCTCACTTGAACGAAGGATTGCAAAAAAACGAAGGATTGCAAAAAACCCTGGTTTGCAATCCTTCGGGTTTTTTGCAATCAATCCTTCGTTCAAAAGGTTTTTTTTTGCAATCCTTCGGGCTTTTTTTGCAATCCTGTTTTTTTGCAATCCCTTTTTTTGCAATCCACCCGCAACCGCGAGCGGTCCGCCGAAGACCACACCATCGTCGGAGCCTTGCCCCTGATCGATGTGGCCCAGACCCGCGGCCCAGACCAGGGAGCCCCCTGGAGAAGCCACAGACCGGGCACGGAGGCCACAGAGGGCCCCTCGGGTTGAGGGGGGGCACCTCGAACAAAAATTAGCAGAGTGCGAATAGGTTATCGGACCTAGCTCTGGTAGCAAGCCGAGTTCGGGCATCTGGATACTTCAGACTGGCGCTGCTGATGATTTCCTTTCGATGACTGTGCCGAACAGCTCTGTAGCTCATCTGCAGCTCGAGTTAACCTCAGAAAACCGACCCTGCGAGCGAGCCTCAGGGAAACTCCAAGTGTGAGGGCAAATGGGGCCCGCAAGGGGCTTCGGGGCCGAGGCCGAAGTCGGGCTCAGGGAGAGCTTGAACGGCGAGCGTCTGGAGCCGTTCGGTCATGCTGTCGGCCTCGGACGTTGTGCTAATGCCGAAGGCCGCCCAGAACAGATTCGCCCACTGCGGGCGGAACGTCACCGAAATCGCCTTCCAGGCGATGCCGATGTGGCCGCTGGGAAGCCAGCGGGCCCAAAAACTGGTTGTCTGATAGAGGCGGGGCGAGCTAAACAACTGGCGTGTGAATTCGACTTTCGGGCAGCCAGCCGAGCATGGCGCAAGGGGGCGCTCGAGCCCGGCCGCCATACCAGCCTCTAGATTTCGAACGTGCCGCACTTCGGTTCCGGTGGGGAAGTCTGCCCGGCTGTCCTCGCCCTCCACGAAGATGAGCCCCGAACTGTCCTGGACCTGCGTCCACGAGGTTGACGCCCCGCGGCGCCGCCTCGTTCGTTCCGATCGAGCCGTCGGTGACTGCTGCAACGACTTGGGGGGCGCTGGTGCTGACGCCAGCTCCTACCATCGCGATCTGGCCAGGGGCCCCCAGCCCAGCTCCGCCGCCGCGTCGGCAAGGACGACGCGGCCGCGGGCGGTGGCGGGGGAAGAAGCTGGACGAGCGGATGCTCAAGAACAGCACAGCGGCGACGCCTTCGAACAGGCGCGACCCTGACGGCATCCGCTTCCAGGCCGCCGCCCGGCCCCAGCCATTCGCCTCGGGAAACTTGGCGCCCCTGCTCGCGAGCGGGCGCAGGTCGTGCCTTGGGGCGGGGCGTCCGCGGCAAGGCCGCCTGGGGCGGCGGCGGCGGCGGCGGCTGGAAGGCTGGTACTGGCGACGCCTGGCGGCCCATGCCCAGCCCCTCGCCATCGCTCGGACGTCCATTCCCTATGCTTTTTGTCGGTTTCGTGTGTGGTATTTTTTCGCCAAATGATCAAGGATGCTCCTCGATGGTCCTCGCCGAAGGAAAAATGCACACGTCCGAGCGATGCCAAGGCCCTCCCACTGGCAGCGGCGCATCGCCCCGCGCCGCCCGAAAAAACGAGAGGCGGGCGGTCGCGCGGCGGCGAGGCTGGGCTGCTCGGGGGGTGTCCACGGCCCAGCGGCCGAGCCGTCCTTCGCCCGCGGCTCCGCCCCGGAACGCCATGGCCGCGCTCCTGCGATGCGGTGTCTTCGCTCCGCGATTGCCCCCGCACCTCTGCCATCGAGCACCGATCTGAAGACCGAATGCCGATCGTGCGGGCCGACCGGTCCAGGTCAGGCTGCAGGTCTTGCAGCGCGGAGCGCTGTACCCGAGTGAGAAGCTTGAACCACGTCGATGCATACAGTCGGGGCGCTGACCGAAGGAACCCTAAATAAGGAACGAGGCCTCTTTTTTCCATACGTTAACCTTCGATTTCCTGTCGAAAACATAAGGAAAGCCTGAGGCAAGCTGTGAAACACTTAAGGAACGCGGAGCCCCTCCCCAACGAAAAGGGTTCCTTGTTCAGGGCCCCGACTGTATATATGCGCAGCGATCCGTCGACCCTCCACCTCCCCGCCTCCCCGATGGTCTTGAAGGGCACCCCCAGAGCCGCCACTGGGCCTCGAGCGCTCCCTCACGTCCCGCGGCGAGACGCCTCAGATCAAACGGGCTCTGGCTGGCGGGGCCGCCGGTCAGGCCCACGTCCACCCGGGCACCTCTGCCGAGGTGAACGCACTGCCCTCGTCGACAGCAGCAGCGCTGGGGAAATCGCCAGGCACAGGCACAGGGGCCAGTGCAGCCTCTCCCTGGAGCCCACGTGTATCGCGGGACTGGGCGTATAGCGCCGCATCCGTCTTGCTCCCTGGGGGAGCTGCCCCAGCAAGTGGAGGGCTCTGGTACGATCTCCTGACCTGCTCTCGTACATGTAGTCCGCGGGGCGGCGGAGGGATATCTCCATCAAGTCGCTCGATCCGAGGAACTTCACCAGTGCCGCCTCGGAAACGCAACCCTTCTCGGCGAAGTCCACGGTGGTCGCCATCGTCCACAGAGCAGTCTACACTGGTGAGGACCTGCTCCCGCCGTATCTGGAAGGAAGCCAGTCCCGTGTCGAAGTGCATCCCTCCATTCCCAGAAACCTGTAGATTCTCCGGCGCCGCCCCCTGCATGTCGGGGGGGGGGAGGCGTCTCTCCCCAACGCGTCTCCTGGCTGCAGCCCGCCGCCTTGGTGAGTCCATCGGACACTAGCGGATCACACGCGGCGCCCCCCAAGGCCGGGGGGCCTGGACCGATGCGTCCAAGGCTCGGCCGCGGACGAGGGCCCGCGGCGCCGTCCGGGGTGCCGTCGGGGACGTGCCCGTGCCTGCGTGGCAGCTGCACCACCGAGTCTCCGAGCTCGCCCCGCTTCCTCATCTCGCCGGTGCAGGTCCAAAGCTTCGAGCCCAGTGCGGGTCGGTGGTCGCTGTCCCGCCGAAGGCCATCAGCGCGGCCTTCGCGGCCGCCGCACCCCAGCCCTCGGCCCCGCCTGTGGCACTGGGGTGGTCGGGTCGCGGCCGCGCCGTCGCCAGCCCGGCCAGCCCGGCCAGTTCGGTCAGGGCTGCGGCGCCTGCGGGCGCGTGGGCCGCGCCGCTTGCCCCGCCCACGGCGCCGCCCTGGGGCACCCCCTGGGGCCAGGCCTGGGATGCCGAATGGCGGGGGCAGGGGCGGCCTGGCACCAGCGGCGTCGCCGTGCGCGTGAGCATCATCTCTGGGGGCGCCGCGCGCGGCCTGGGAAGCCCGAGTCGCATGGCCTCCCGCATGGCGGCCAGCTCGCCCCTCAAGCGCGCAAGCTCTTCGGCACCGCCGTTGGAGGGAGCGCGCGAGGGGCAGGCCCGCCGGGCAAGGCTGGCCACGCCAGTCGCCCCCACGAGGCACCCCAGCAGCGCCCAGCGCGAGCAGCCTGGCGACATGCGCGCACACTGCGCTCAGGATGCCCACCACCGTGAACGCCGGCAGCCGACGGGGCCAGGAACACGAGCAGCGCGAGGGGGCCTCGTCCAGCCCAGGCGTCATGGCATTTATTTTGGTTTGAATAAAGGTATAAGGTATTAAGGCAAAGCGTAGATCCCTGCATGCTTGAGCCTACGTGTGCGACACCACATATCTGCTCCAACCCCTTCTCTCTATTCCAAGAGTGCCCACGAAAACTATCATTCACGAGCTCATTAGATCCCTGCATGCTTGAGCCTACGTGTGCGACACCACATATCTGCTCCAACCCCTTCTCTCTATTCCAAGAATGCCCGCGAAAACTACCATTCACGAGCTCATTAGACCGGGAGGAGCGGGAGGGGAGGCGGAACGGGGAGCAGGAGGGCAGGGGAGGATGGGGAGGCGGAAGGGGGAGGGAGGGGAGGCGAGAACTGGGAGGGAGGGATGGGGGGGAGCGCGAACGCGCTCTCCGCGGCGCCTGCTCGGCCGACCGCGCGGGCGGGGGCAGTGGAGGCGTCCAGGGCCGGGAGCGCGGTGGGCATCGCGACGTCCAGGGCCGGGGGGTCCTGTCCCGGGCCCTCGAAGCCGCCGAGGTTTCCTGCCGCTGGGCCAGGCGAGTGCGGCCGCCCTCCATCCCGAGGAAGGGGGGACGGAGGAGGAAGGTGAGGAGTGGGGAGGGGGAGGATGAGAGGGAGGGGAGGGGGAGGCAGGTGAGGAGTGGGGAGGGGGAGGACGATAGGAAGGGGAGGGGGAGGCAGGCGAGGAGGGCGAATGGTGAAGAGGAGGCGGGCGGGGGAGGGGGCTGGAAGGAAAGAAGGGAGGATCGGGAAGGAGGGACAGACGGAATGGGGATGAATGGACGGACTGAGGGCGTCATATTCACATGTGGAGGTGATAAGATTGCGGCTTTGGGAAGCTCATTCTTCGACAGAAGGGTGATCAGGAAACGGGGGCGCGCGGCAGGGAAGGTGTGGAAGGGAAGGGAAGGGGATGGATGGGGGGAGAGGGAGCGGGAAAAGGGAGGCGAGAGGGGAGGGAGAACGGCGGCCAAAGGGAAGAGACATAATTGCGAAATGGGCGTAGCGAACTGAAAAACGAGTGGACACCCAACCTGTCTTGGAATTGGCTCTGGGAGAGCTCGTGCAGGACTCCAAGTGTTCCTGGCGAGCTACGGCCGTCTGCATGGCCCCCCAGGCCCGATCCCCATATCAACGACAAAACCAACGACAGGTGGAATCTTATCACAAACTCAATGGAAGCTAATTGACCGATCTCGCTCTCACCTGCTACAACGCTGTTTTGCAATGACTTGGATTGGACTGAGCTGATTTAACTGGTTTGTAATTTCACCAGCCCTCTGAGCGTATGTGGTCTAGAACGTTTCCTCTTCCACCTCCTTTCTTCCCTTCGGGGACGGGTTTACCCCTCTCCCTGCCCCCTCCCCTGGACTTGGGCGGGGGGGGGGGCGCGAGGTGTCAGGAGATATTTTTCGCTCCAAGGCGGCTGCAAGAGGGCCTCAGGGAGCCCACGATGGCGTCCAGGATGGCTCAAGATAGCGCAAGATGCCTCAAGATGGCTTTCAAGATGCTCCAAGAGGCCCAAAGACCGCCCCAAGACGGGTCCAAGTGACCAACAGAGCTCCCCAATGATGCAAGCAAAAAGCCCCAATCAATCGAAACCATGAGAACATCTGTGTTTTTGGTTTTCTCGCCTTTTCGCTTCCGATTGCCATTCGGGGCCTCCAAGTAGCTCCAAGATGGCCCAAGAGAGCCCCAAGAGGGGCCCAAGAGAGCCCCAAGACGGCCCCAAGAGCGCCCTAATGACGCTCCAAAAAGCGACTTGGGGTGGGGGGGCTCCCGAGGGGGGGACGCTAATTAAGGACCCCCCTGCTTTGATGGATGTTCTCCAAGGTGGCAGTAAGAGACGCCCAGGAGGCCCCGAGAGGCCCCAAGATGGCCCTAATAGGCCCCCAGGAGGCCCCCCAAAGGACCCCAAGCGGCCTTCCCCCCCCCGAGGCACCCAAGACGCCCAAAAGCCCCCCAGGACCGCCAAGAGACCTCCAAAACGTCCCAAGAGTCCACCACAAGAGATGCCACATGAGGCTCCTAGAGGCATCCAAGCGGACCTTTGGCCCTTTTGCTTGCCCTCCTACTTCTGTTCCTCCTTCCTCCTCCAACTCCTTCTCTTCCTCCTCCTCCTTCTCCTCCTCCTCCTCCTCCCCCTCCTCCTCCTTCTCCTCCTCATCCTATTCATCCTCCTTCTCCCCACTTCCTTATCCATCCATCCAGCCTCTTCCTTTTCCTCCTCTCTCCTTCGCACAGTTCGGCGATTCCCTTCTTTGCTCCCGCACTTCCCTGATCACCTCAACTCGCCTGGACATCGTTTCAGGGTGGGCTGGCGGGGATACGCGAGGCGTCTAGAATTGCATTGGAATTCTTTGCTTTACTCTGTGGTGCTTTGCTTTCAACTAGCGTGCAATACAGGTGGCACGAATCACGCTGCCTTCGGCTTGGCTCGACTTGCTTTGTAACTCCCTTCCACGTGCGTTGCAAGATAAGCTCGTTCCAGTGCAATGTAAGTGGGTACCGTATAATGCACATGCAAAGCTAGGATGTAGTCAATGCGGCCCGAAGCAATGCGACCAATGCAACGCATACCGATGCAACGCAAAGAGTTGCAGTGTATATCAAGTGAAGCGCAAAACATATGCAACGACATACAAGGATCAGCAATGCCGTTTAAGTCAACCTGCTGCAGAGCAATTGCAAAACAGTCTAAAACAACGCGATACACAACAGGGCAGTTCAGTCAATGCAAGGCATTCTAAATCAAAACGCAACAAAACACCACGACACAACGCAATTCAATGCGATGCGCATGTAGGGAAGAGCGCGTTCTGTGGTCGCTTGGTGGGGGGGGGGTTAGAACCGGTCCCCCCCCATTCATCCCCTACTTCTCCTCTCTCCCTCTCCTCGGGCCGGCGCCTGCGTCGGCGGCGCGGCTGGCGGCGGCGGCGGGGACGACGATTTCCATTTCTGGGCCGGCGCAAGCGCCTGCGGCGGCGGGCGGCGGCGGCGGGGAGCGTCGACGAGGACGATGCTGGTGGTGGTGGTGGAGGTGGGTTGTGGTGGTGGTGGCGGTGGTGGTGGTTATGGTGGTGGTGGTGTGGTGGTTTGTTGTGGTGGTTGCGGTGGTGGGTGGTGGTGGTGGTGGTGGTGGTGGTTGTGGTGGTTTGGTGGTGGTGTGGTGGTGGTTTGTGGTGGTGGTGGTGGTGGTTGTGGTGGGTTGTGGTGGGTTGTGGTGGTTTGGTGGTGGTGGTTTGCGGTGGTTGTGGCGGTGGTGGGTTGTGGTGGTGGCGGTGGTTTGTGGAGGTGGTGCTGGAGGTGGTGAGGGTGGTGGTGGTGGTGGTGGTGGTGGTTTGTGGTGGTGGTGGGTTGTGCTGCTGGTAGTGGTGGTGGTTGTGGCGGTGGTGGTGGTGGTGTAGTAGATTGTGGTGGTGGTAGTGGTGGTGGTTTTTGTGGTGGTGGTGATGATGAGTTGTGGTGGTGGTGGTGGTTGTGGTGGTGGCTGTGGTGGTGATGGTGGTGGTTGTGTGGTGGGTTGGCGGTGGTGGTGGTGGGTTGAGGCGGTGGTGGTGGTGGTAGTGGTGGTAGTGGTAGTGGTGGTAATCGTCGCTGCGTCCCCGCCGTCGCTGGCGCCATCGCCAGCCCTGCTGGCCGCCGCCAGCACCGGCGCCGGCGCTGGCGCCGGCGCCAGGGGGTGCTTTTGGTCATCGTCGCTCTGTCCCTGCCCTCGGTGCTGCTGGCGGCCGCCAGCGCCGGCGCTGGCGCCGGCGCCGAGGGGGGGGGAGGAGGGTTTTGAATCCCCACCCCTCCCTTGGGAAGAAGGGGGGGGGTTCGGGAGGGGGGGGGTTTGGAGGAGAGGGGAGTCCCCCTGGTTTTGGTCGACGGCGCCGAGTGTTGGGGGGGGGGCCACTGCCCGGTTCGAAACGCGCCGCCGAATGTTCCCAAGGCAAGCGCCCGTGAAACGCGCTTTCTCGCATGTCGGAAACACCTGCAATCACATCCGACGCACCACATTCATAAACACTGCACAGTTGTGCGAACCCGTGCATATGTGACGCAAGCACCGCGCATGTATACAATGGCGTCCAGTGTAATTGCCACCAATGCAACTTAATGTCATGCAAATGAGTACCCTCCGCACCTGCTCCTGCACGCACGTGGCACAACGCATGCGTGCACCCCCCACTCTGTTCTCCAGCGCCCACGTCGCCCTCAAGGGTCTGTGCGCGCCCATGCGAAGAGCCCCTGCGCCAGCTCGCTGCGTGAATCTGCTGGTGGCGACGGCACGAACAACGTGCGATGGCAGCCACCCAGTGTGGGGCCTGTACCCATACGGCAATGCTCAACACTCCGCACGCTGACGGTCGAGGCCAAGGGGCCCAGACCGTTGCGGCGAGCCCGCCCCTCTGGGGCACGCCTGCCGCCGCCACGCAACGCACGGCCTCAAGAAGCCTCGGTGCCCAACGCCCGGCCATCGCCGTACCGCGCGTGGTGTGGAGGCGAGGCGGGCCCATGCTGACTATCTCTAGGCGGGGCCTCAAGAAGCCTTGCCCACGACCTGCTGGCCGCCGCAGGAGGCGGGGAGGGTGGTGGACCGAAGCAGCTCTGGCGCGCGCGCGCGCGATGCCCGACTACCCTCCGCGCCTGCTCCCGCACGCACGTGCCACGAGTAACGCACCCGACTGCAGATGACGTGCGACCTGTCATGCGACGCGGTGCCACTCACAACGCTGCAGGCCTTGCCTTGCCGTGCCGCGGTTCTGAAACGGCAGAAATGCACCGTGCCGTGCCGTGCGTGCCCGCGCGCCGTGCCCTGCGGTGCTCGGCCTCTTGCGGCACCGGCCGCCTACACGAAACACGCCCCCTTCTGAGGTTGAATCGCCATGTGCGTTCTCGTGCGGCGTTGCTGTGCAGGGTCCCTGTGCACGGCGTAATGTCTGCACTGGCGCTTCCAAAAGTACGTTCTCTGTCTATAGCCGCCACCGTGGGCACCGGGTGGAGTGTCATCAGGCCCTTTCGATTCCTCAGTGCTGCCTGCTGTAAAAACTCCATACGGGGCTCAGCAGACCCTGGAGTTCTGGGCACTTTTGGTCGCTTCTGGGGATCGTCGCGCATCTTTGAACAACCTTATGTCTTTCAGCATTTTCTGCTCTGGAGGGGGGAACACGACCTGGCGCCTGGAGGCACCTAGTGCCAGGATGGCCCCCGACACCAGCAAGATACTCCAAAGAGGCCCCAGGAGGCCTCCAAGAGGCCCCATGAGGCCTCCAATAGGCCCCTAATAGGCATCCCGTCGCGGGATGGGCCGAAGACCTCTCGATGATCTGAAGCCCTTGGGGCGCCCGAGTTCCTCTTGGGCGCATAGTGGGGGCACCTTCGGATGAAATTCGTGGATGCTGGACGCTGTTGGAGTTGATCTTGGAGCGTCTTGGAAGTCTTTTCGAGGCTGATTGGGGTATCTTGAAGACTCCTTGAATGTCTGGGAGCCGATTCTGCGACGGCCTCTCGTGCGGAAGCGCCAGTTTTGAATTCCTAGCCCGATTCTTTGGCCTCCCAAGCGTCGGTGTCGCAAGGCGCGATTGCGCCCAGAGGTCAGGAGGGCGCGAGGTCAATCGGCAGCTCCGCTTGCACCCGCCTCTTCCACGGAAGACACGCGGAGCGCTGGTGGAGGAGGGAGGATGGGGTGGGGCAGAGGAGGGTGCCAGCCAGGGGCAGCACCCTGGCCCCCACCCCCGAGCCTGTGGCCACCCACGGCGGGGCGCCAGGCAGCACTCCCGGCAGGCCGCTGCCCAGCGCCAGCGGGGCGTCGGGCGCGCCGGTGCAGCCGGCCAGCCTTGAGGAGCCAGGGCCGCTGATGCCTCACTGTCCTCCTCATCATCATTCAGTTTGCTCTCCCCCCTGACGACAGAGCCCAGTAGCGTCCCAAGCAGTGGCGCCGACAACATATACGAGTCGAAGCTGGAGTCAGGCGAGTGCCAGCCTGCAAGAGGCGAGGCAACACCCGACCTCTTTTGCATTTGCTAGAAGAACCGCGGCGTGGACACGTTTTTTCGAAAAGAGGAGGGGGAGGAGGCGAAAGAGGGCGCCAGCACGTAACAGCATTCTCCTGATCTCTCTCACCATCCTTCTCTTCTTCCTCCTCCCAATCTTTCTTCTTATCCTCCTCCTCCTGCACAGGAGCAGCTTGCTGAAGCCTCCTGGTCGAAAATGTTGGTCTCCTGTGGTATCCTCGAATCTCCTGGGGCTCGCCAGCTGCGGGGGAGTTCCTCCGCGGCTTCTCTTCTTTGGCGTCTAGCAAGCGTGGGAGGACCGTGGTAGGCTCGGGAAGACCATCGGAAACACATCGGGACCCCAAGACGGCTCGAGAGTGCCCCAAGACGGTCTGGCACGACGACGAGGCCAAGAGCCCCCCAAGACGGCCACAAGAGGGAGAGCACGAGCTGACATGTCGAGCCCTCCATCCCAAGATGGCCCCAAGATCCCCCCCAAGGCCCCCGAGGAGCCCCTAATGCGGCCCAAAGGGGCCTCCAGGAGACCCCCAGGAGGCTCCCGAGGGCCCCCCAAGAACCCTCCAGTAGGCATCCCGCCGAGCGGCATCCATCGATATGAGATGGTCCAAGTGGTGCTGCCTTCTAGGGAAACCTTCGGCCTACAACCTGGGTGCGGTGGCGGGTTGAGCCGAAAAGCACTAGATCCGCCGCCCCCTTTCGATTCATCGCAGGGGCGCCTGGCGTGCCAAACTATTTCGGTTTTGGTTTTGGTTGTTTTTCCAAAAGAACTCCCCCTGGGGCTTCGGTCCGTCCCGCCGGCCACCCGGAAGGCCCTCAGTTTTCCAACTTTTTCGCTCAAGATGGCCCAAGACGGTCTCCAAAATGGCCACGTTGGCCCAAGATGGCCTCCAAGATGGTCCAAGATGGCCTCCAAGTTCGCCCACGATGGTCCAAAACGGCCTCCTATACGGCCCAAGAGAATCCAAGACGTCCGAAGACGGCCCAAGAGGCCCCCCAGAGGCCTCCAAGACGGCCCAAGAGGCCCGAAGAGGCCCAAACCATTGATTTTCCTTAGCTTTTTGAAGGATTTTCGCATTCGCTTCTTCTCCGCTTTCCGACGACCCAGAAGACGGCCCAAGAGGCCTCCAAGAGGGCCTCCAGGAAGGCCTGAAAAAAGGCCAAAAGCATGGATTTTCCTTTGGATTTCGAAAAATGTTGACATTTGCTTCGTTTCGGCCTTCCGACGGCCCGATACGGCCCAAGAGCTCCCAAACATCGCCCAAAGATCGCCCAGGAGGCCTCCAAAATGGCCCCAGAACTGCCCAAGGGGCCCCCAAGACGGCCCCAAGATGCCCCCAAGACGGCCCAGGAGACTTTTAAGACGCCCAAGACGGCCTCCAAGACGGCCCTGGAGCATTCCAAGAGGGCTCCAAGTCGGCTCAGATATGCTTAATCACTTTAATCTGATACCACGATGGTCGCGACCAGGGGTTATGGGACGTGCAACAGACAGGCCAAACCTCACATGAGCGGAATGGAAGTGTTCGAACAGTAAAATCAAACGTGCGCTATGTAAAGTCAGGTCCAGGGTGGCCGAGGGTGGGAAGGCTTGAGCCCCAGCAGCAGCGGAGGGACTGCTACAAACGGGGCTGTAACGTCTAAAAAGGGATTAACGCAATTACGTGCCACGCACACACACGTGAAGTCTGATACCACGGTGGTCGCGACCAGAAGTTATGGGGCGTGCAACGGACAGGCCAAACCATATTTTTCGCAAAGTCAAAGTTCACAGCGAAGCGGCAGGACCATTCACAGGCGGAGAAAACGCCGACCTCGAAGCCACCAAGTGTGCAACTTCTTTGCTCAGGACAAGTTAAGCAAAGCGCTACGCAGCCACGCAGCAAGGCGAGATGGGCACGAAGCTGAAACGGACGTCATAGCTTTCCCCTCGAATGCAATGTGCTTTCTCCCAGGCCGAAAGCTGCAGAAACCATGTTCCCCGAGACACCTCAGGCGTCCAGGGTAAGCCAAGGCGAAGCCCCCAGCTTCAGTCATACAGCCAAAAATCACCCGGGTCGCCTTCCGCCACCTCGATCCAAACGCGCACCGATGCAGGTCCAAAAATTGGCTGTGGGGCATCACGTGAGTGGTCACGTCTGAACACTTCCACGCATACGATGTCTGAGGATTCCCCAAAGCGTACGGCACATAATGCAAACGGCACAACCTGATCGCAAAAACCGCCACTCGCATACATAGGCTTCCTACTCTCACCGCCTCCGCAAGCTCCGCGTCGGACGTGTAGTCGTCGTCGTCGTCGTCGTCGTCGTCGTCGTCGTCGTCGTCGGAGTCATCCTGTGCGTGTCCGTGTCAACGCGTGCCGATCCAGTCCTCGATGGGCGTGTCGCATAGCTCGTATATCCCATCATGTCAGTACTCGGTGTAACGAAGTGAGCCATCCCAAAACCAAGCGGAGCTGGACTGGGAGCAATTGGGTGATCGATTTCGGGGAAATCAACGTACTAAATATTTGCCCGCTTCGGATGGCTCTGATTCGAGAAGTGCGGCTCCGTCCCCTTTCCCACCTCCCTTGGAGCATTGTGTTTGGAACTGTTTGTCGCTGACGCAGGTGTTGCATCTCATCCTTTTACCATCTTTATCCATGGGATTGAGCCTGCGTCCCTTGCCCTTGCCTGTTGAGTGCCTGCGACCTTTACATCTACCTCTACCTCCTAAGAATAAGCCTTCGAAGTCGTAATCGGTCAATCGAGCCAGAAACGTGGCTAAACTCTTGCCGTGCAGTCTGTGGGTGCGTCTACCGCCATTGCCGCGGCCCTGTCCTTTGCGGAAGCAGACGCGACTTGCAGCTCGCCTGAACATTCTGACTGGCTTCTTCATGTGTCGTCTCCGCTTTTTGGCGTGATGATAGCCTAGGTATAGGTATTGCGTAGCTGCACCAGCGGAGGAGACCGCGTCGGTATCCGCGCGGAAATCGAAGACGTCGTCATCTTGTTGGCTCGGTGAACCCCAGAGGGTGGTCGCGTCGGGAGGTGTATAGCTGGCCGCTGACGGCCAGCCCATGTTTGTGCCAGACGCCAGTTCGTTGCTGTTGGCGTTGTTGGCGTCTTGGCCTAGGAGCGTCGTGGAGTCAGTGGGCTCTCGGTCGCTCCAGATGCTATTCGGCATGGCTGCCGGTGTGACGCTTATTTCGGCGTGGTAGGTGCCAGCACTTCGCTCGCTGAAGATGCTCCCGATGTTTCCTGGGGGGCGCTCGGCCAAGTGTCCATGGCTGCGCATTCGCTCCAGGAAATTGTCATGCCGTTGAGTGCCGGGCTTCTGGTGGTTCAGCGGTTGCAGCAGCTGTGCTGCTCGGGAGGTACCAACCCCCGAGGCGCGAAATAATATCAGGGTAAGGATCTGGAAGTTGGGTATGTTGGAGCTTGCTGAGTCTGCTACCGGCCTGGCCATCTCGAATCGGGCCAGCAATGAGCTGATGTGTGCACCTCCCGACCCTGAAGTCAATGAGGACTTTTCCCGAGGTGAGCTGTCGCTCATCTTCAAGGTTTTCAAATTTGGTGCTGATAGGTACATGATGTATGCGACTCCGTCGGTGCGTCTCCCCTGTAGTGTGGCACCGTAGTTGATGATGGTGAACGGCATCCTCATGGCGAGTGTCCTAGCCAATCCACCTAGACCGCGCTGTAAAGCTGCGGCCTGTTGCTTCGAGTCATGTTTCCGCTCGTGATGTTGAGCCATGCGTGTACTTCGCGAACAAAGTCGCGGAAGGGTGCGTTGCCTGCGGGATCCCAGAAAAAAGCACCCCGAATGCGTGTTTCATCCAGTCCTCTTCCGTACAAATATGCCACGGCAAGACCCAGGCACACCCATGCACTCCAAAGATAGCGACCTGGAGATATTGCATGGTCATAGTGTAGCTGATGAGGTCAAGTTGCGTGCCAGTGGATCTGGTCGCTTCGAGAAGGTTGCGACTGGGTGTCTGGTTAGACGTGGCCGTCAGCTTGCGGATGGGTATCGGTGCTTGGGTTGTGCGTGGCGTGTGGCCACGCGGCGGGGAGATGGAGGTGTAGGACTAGGACTGTAGGTTACCAATTGGTTCAAGAGTATTGGTAATGTAGTGGCTGGGGGCCGGCGCAGTCGGGTACTCCACTGTGCCGTTGTAAATTGTTAGGTATTCTACTGATGTAAGAACCAGCCACTCGAAGACGTAGCCAGCTCCGCTACCAAGGGAAAGTAAAGGCGCAAGGCGTGACCATGAGGTTATAAGCTGAGAGCCTGGCTCTTAGGATTACGTCGGCGACGTATCGAGGCATCCCACAATTCATCTCTGAATGGCAAGCAGAATGAGAGGTAAGAGAGAAACCATGGTATGGAGAGGTGGATCATAGATAGACGCGGCCTTTGTCTGATGCTATGATCCCGATGGAGGCGCACAGGATCGTGCACCTAGCAGATAGAACAGCGCTGCCTTGAGCCAAGACAGCCTCTCCTTAAACCTCGTTTGAAGTTCTCCCTCTGCTCCACTTCCTCTGTCTCTCCATACGTGTTCCCCGAAGGCTTTCCAAACCGATTCGGGGAACACATGGTCCGATGGCTTGGCCAAGCTCTAGCGCAACATTCGACCACATAGGCGTTTCCAGAAAGGCAGGGGGCGGCGGTGATTCGCCGTAGGCGTCTTCGATCCGCCTGCCCCTGTTGAAATATTGCATGGGTGCATGGCGTGCTGAAGTGTGGGTGGTTTTGGGTTCTTTTTGACAGAACTCTCCCTGGGGCTTCGGCCCAGCCCGCCAACCACACAGAACAACCCACAAAGATCACAACGGATCTCCCCAAGACCCTCCAAATGGCCTCAAACTGGCCCAAGAAGGCCCAAGAAACGCCCAAGCGCCGGCCTCCCAGACGGCCCAACAGGTCTCCAAGAGGACCCACAGGAAGGCCCGAAGACACCAACAACATTGATTTTCCCGAAGCTTTTGAAGGACTGTGGATTTTGCCCCGTTTCGGGCTTCCGACGGCCCAAGGCGACCCAAGAGGCCATCAACATCGCCCCAAGAGCGCCCAAGAGGCCTCCTCCCAAGATGGCCCCCCAAAGGGCCTCGAGACGGCCCAAGAGGCCTCCCAGACGTCCAAGATGGCTCAACACGATCCCGAAGCGCCCCAAGAGCGCCCCCAGACGGCCCAGAGAGGCTCCCAAGCTGGCTCCCGACGGCGTCAGACGGGCCATGAACGCCGTAAGACGGCCAAATAAGCCCCAAAGGCGCTCCCAACTGCCTCCAAGAGGCCCAAGGAGGCTCCCAAGAGGCCTCCAAGAGGCCCCCAGGAAGCTCCCAGGAGGCCCCCCAAAATGGCCCAAGGAGCTCCCAAGATGTCCCCTCATCCTTCTTCTCATCCTCCGGTTTTCCTTCCTATCCTCATCCTTATCTTCCTCCCCCACGTGTTCCCCGAATGGCCTGTCTCCCCAATTAGGGCTTCGCGCGCCCCGCCTAGCTCTTGACCAGAAGGGGCCCAATCCCGACCCGCCGGCCCAAAAAGTTCCCCGAGTGGCTTCCACAACGGCTGGGGGAACGCATGGCCCAATAGCGTGGCCAAACTTTACCCAGGGCGTATCCTTGAAGGCAGGGGGCGGCGGTGATTCGCCGTGGGCGTCTTCGATCGCCGAGTGTCCCCACCCTCCCCACCCTTTCCCCCCCTCCGCAATCTCCACCTCCCCCCTCATGGGGTAGGCTTAGGAGGAGGAGTAGGATTAGGATTAGGAGGAGGAGGAGGAGGAGGAGGAGGAGGAGGAGGAGGAGGAGGAGGAGGAGGAGGAGGAGTGATGTGCCCTCGCCGTCGCCCTCCTCCCACTCGCAGGCGCAGGCGGCCAGCCTCGGGAAGGTCGGGCCGCCTGGGCCGGCCGCCCAGCGCGCCTGCGGCGCGTCCGTGCTGCCTCGGGGGGCCCGCGCGGCCCCTCCCAGTGGCAGGGGAGATGGGGTAGGCGATGGGGGAGGGCGGAGGAGGGGGGGCGGCAGGATGGGGTAGGCGATGGGGGAGGGCGGAGGAGGGGGGGAGGCAGGATGGGGTAGGCGATGGGGGAGGGCGGAGGAGGGGGGGAGGCAGGATGGGGTGAGCGATGGGGGAGGGCGGGGAGCGAAGGGGGGGCGGGGAGAGGCATGGGGGGAGGGGGCGGGAGGGGGACGTGGGAGAAGATGAGGGAGCCAGGAAGGGGGGAGCGAGGAGAGGGGAGAAGGACTGAGAGGGCGTAGGATGGGGGTAGGATGGGGGAGGGGGGGGAGGCGGCAAAGCAGGTGCGCGCGCCATATCTCACATCCTACCCCCCTCCCACGCATGCCTTCCTTTTGCGCAGGATTTTACCAAACTAGCCGGTCTATAAGAAGTCTGTACATGACTCGCAGGATAAGCCTGGGCGGCCGTTGCCAGTTCCAGCGTCGGTGACTTGATGGTCTCCCGTATGGTATCCGGCATGGTCTCCTGTATGCTCCTCCGTATGGTCTCTGGTATGGTCTCACGCATGGTCTCCCGCATGTGCAGCACAATAAAAAATCCCACCAGCCCTCTGGGCTGAGGTGTTTTAGGGCGTCTCCTGTTCCACCTTCCCCCTTTCTTGAAGGGCTCATCCCTCCTCCTTGCCGCTTCCTCTGGGTCTGGACAGGGGGGGACGCGAGCGGTTAGAACGTCCGAGATGGCCTCAGCGAGAATGCCACCAACATTTAGTTTTCCCAGGTTTCGGGCCTAGTTTGGCCTCCTGGAAGGGCGAGGCTAATTAGGGCCCGCCTTCTTTGACCGATCGCCTCCAAGATGGCCCCAACACGCCCCGAAAGAGGCCCCCCAAGATGGCCCGAAGACACGCCGAAGATGCCCCTAGGCGGCCCTATGAAGGCTCCCAAGCCAAGAGGCCCCCAGAAACACCCAATACGCTCCAAGAGGCATCCCAAGAGTCAGCAGAAGGCCCCAAGACGCCCCAAGGTACCTCTGAGGTCAGGGATACGCAGCGCGTTAGGAATTTGTTTCATTTCCTCGGAACATGTGGTGCTGAGGGTGTTCTGCCGCCAGGGTGCAATTTCTCTATCCGCCGACGGGTGTACTGTCCATCGGAGGAAGAGGAGGTGTGGGAGCAGGAGCATGGGCAGGATGCGAAAGGAGGAAAAGGGAAGAGGAGGAGTAGCAGGCAACAGTAGTGGAAGAAGTGGCAGGAGCACGAGGGCCAGGGGAAGACGGGGGATGAGAAAAGGATGAGGCGACAACGACGGGGAACTATTCGGACTTGGAAGCGTATCCCTCGCTGGGGCGAGAGCGCCACTCTGAACGAGAGCAAAGTGCCGATCCCGACACGTGGCCAGCACTGCCGCGGGATCGGCGTTTGGAGAAACCCAAGAGGTTGCGATTGGACAGAGCAGCGAGGCAACTCTTCACACTCGATGCGCCACAGACCTGCGGGCGAGGCGGCGCCCCGCTCTCGCACAACATCCGGGGAGATGGGGCAGTGCTGATTTTGAGCAGATGTGGACGTGGCAAAAGGGGGGGTGGGTAGAAGAAGATTAGGGAAACAAGAAATAACATAAACATAAGAACTCGGAGGTCCCCGCGGATTTCTCGGATCGGCGCTGGGGCCCCCCAGCGGCGCCTCTGGCGCCGCCCCTGGCGCGCTCTGCGCGCTGGGGAGGGGGGGCCAGCGCCGATCCGAGAAATCCGCGCGGACCTCCGAGTTTTTATGTTTATGCCACTTCTTGTTCCCCTAAAGATCTGTGGCGAAGGACGTGCTCGGGTCTCTGGGCTGCCTCCAGGCCCTGAGAGCGTCTGAGCGGACAGAAGAAGCAGGAGGGAGGGATGACGCAGGGAGCTGAGCTTCGGCCCTGGCCTCATGATGGAGAAGCGGCGGAGCAATCAGGAGGGATCGTGGAGGCCTGGGGGAGGGAGGTAGGCAGGGAGAGGGAGGAGGGGGGGGAATGGAGGAGAAGGGGATGGGGGAACGGGGGACGAGGGAAGGGGGGAGGGCTAGGGCGGGGTGGGAGGTGTCACTACTATGCCGAGGGCTTTGCACGAGGCGTGCTCCGAAACAGATACGCAGATGTGCCGGGCTACCTCGCCTAGGTCGCCCGCGAGGCGCCCCGCACCCTGGCGACCGCCCGCGCGGTCGACAGGGATCTGCGACGGCCTCCTCCTCCTCCTCCTCCTGCTGCTGCTCCTCCTCCTCCTCCTCCTCCTTCTTCTCCTTCTCCTCCTCCTCCTCCTCCTCCTATTCCTCTCCTCCTTCTTTTCCTCTACTCCACTACTCCTTCACTCATCCTCCATCTTCTCCTCCTCCTCCTCCTCCTCTTTTACTTCTCCTCTTCTTCCTCCTCCTCCTCCTCCTCCTCCTTCTCCTCCTCCTCCTCTTTCTGCTGCTGCTGCTGCTGCTGCTGCTGCAGCCTGCTGCGCCCGCGCCTCGGCGGGGCCCCGCGCGCTCAGCCGTTCAGCGACTGGATGACCCGGAAGGCCTCGTCCTGCAGCGCCTTCTCCTCCGAGCTCGCAAAGGACTGCGCCCCCCCCGGCTGCGTCGCGGCGGACGGCGGCGCGGCGGCGCCGTCCTGGGCCATGCTGAAGTTCAGCTTCTCTATGGCCCTCCTCGCCTCCGCGTCCAGGCTCCCCGTCTGGATCGCGCCGGCGGGCCCCGTCTGGAAGGCGCCCGCGGGCCTGCTGGAGTCCTCGAGGGCCATCGAGGGCGGCGGCGGCATGCCGCCGCCGAGGCCCGCGGGCGCCTGCTGGCCCGGCGGGATGCCCAGGATGTTCGCCAGGCCCGGGGCCATCCCCATGCCGGGGGGCAGCCCCGGCTGCATCGGGCCGCCCGCGGCGCCGGTGCCCGCGCCCTCGGCCCCGCCCAGGGTCGGCGCGCCGCTGGCCAGGTCCATCTTGACGGTGCGGATGCGCGCCATCAGCGAGGCGCTCGGGTTGGCGGTGTTGATGAAGTTCCCCTTGGCCATCACGAGCTTCTGGATGTCCGGGGCCTCCGAGCGGAAGGAGGCGATGCCCGCCTGGTCGATGCCGTTGGAGATCAGGAACTTGTCCACCTCGCTGGTGTTCCCGTCCAGCGAGGAGGGCGGCGGCACGCCCCCGTACTGCCCGCGGTTGCCGAGCACCCCGCGCTTGGCGTCGCGGATGCGGCCGACCAGCGCGCCGCTCGGGTTGGCGCAGGCCCGGAGGGGGCCCCGCTCGAGAACGGCCAGCGCCACGTGCGGCGGCTCCTTCCGCAGGTCTCGCGAGGCCGCGGCGTCGATGTTGTTGGCTAGCAGGAAGGCGTCTACCTCCTCGCTGACCATCTCCTTTCGGGTCGGGCGAAAGGGGGGGATAGCAAAGGGGGGGTTTGAGAATCAGCTCACGTAGCTGATTTTCCCGGCGCCTCCCGGCGCCGGAGGCGGCTATGTATCGAGGAATGGGCCCCTCGGTGAGGCCGAAACCAGCTGCATGCAGCAAATTTCGTAACCCCCCCTTTCCCAATCCCCCCCTTTCGCCCGGCCCGATCCTTGATGATCCTGACCTCATCGGGGGAGCGCTTGGAGTCGTCCGCGCCGGGAGCGCCCAATCGGAAACTCCGGAGATCGGCCATGCGGCCGCTGGCATGCCGCGCGGCGCGCAGTCGCGCGCCCACAGAGGCCCCCGGCGGTGGCTTGCAGCCACGACGCGAGCCCGCGAATGCGGGCGGACCGCCTTGAGCCCAAATGGGTACACCGCGGAGGGAGGTGAAGAGCGGGGACGGGGCGGGAAGGGGCCCCGACAGGTGGCCAATCAAGCCGTCGCGAAGCCCGCGGGCGGACCAGCCCCAGCCCTGCCGTGGGGCCAGTAGTGGCCTCACGGGCTCTGTCTGGCACGGATCCCCTCTCTGAGCAAGAAGGAAAGCATGGGAGGGAGAAGGGGGCGGGAAGCTGCAGAGGCCCTACTCATTCTGAGTGCTGCCCTGCTTTGCCTGGGTCACTTCGCTCTTTCACTGTAACTGGGTCTTGGACCAAACGCCTCTGAACGTCATCTTCGACAGTCCATCTGGGTCTGAAGGCCCTTTGGGGGCTTGCGGGGGTCCTCGTCACCATTTGAACACACTCAAACACGCGCAATCTTACATACTCACGCCCTCACACGCTGACGGCCTCACGTACGCGCGCCCTCAAGTACCATTCCCGCTCCACCCGCTCACAAGCTTATGCTCACGCGGGAAGAAGACCACTTCAATGACAGACTCGGCTCCTCACTGGCAGCAGCCACAAAAACAAATCACCAGTAGCCACGGGCGTTGCAGGAAACAGTCAAGCAACAACAGCAGCCATTGGAACACGCCAGCAGCAGTCACAGCATGACAGACTCGGCCCCTCGAGGCACGCACACACGCACACACACGCACACCTTTTTTGTGTCACGTGGATTTTCGGGCCATTTCCTCCCAAACGCGAGTCTCGCCATCGCTCGGACGCCCATTCCCCGTGTTTTTTTCGGTTTCGTGCGTGGTTCTTTTCGCCAAATGATCAAGGATGCTCCTCGATGGTTCTCGCCGAGAAAAAAAAGGACACGTCCGAGCGATGCCAGGGAGTGGTGCTTCAGCGGCCCTCCGCTGCAAACGACATGTCCCGTCGCAAGCCGCCCGCCCCGGACGGGCCATGGCAGCTCCATAATCCGTGCTGGCTCTCGTCGTCGCCATGCACAGAGGTGAGCAGGACGCTGTCGAGGCTGAGCAGGAGACTCCACGAGGCTTGGCAGGTTCCACCTCGTGCGTTCGCTTCCGCGCGTCGCCATGGAAGGCAGCGCATCGTGCGCGCATGATGCAGGGTTCGGGGAGGGTCTTCTGGCTGTGAGGCAATTCGTTTGCTCCTTCATGTGTAGTTCAGCTCGACAGCCTCTGCCAGAGCTCGCCGTCACACCCGCCACTGATCAGCCCTCCTTCGCGCTCACGTTGTGCAGGTTGATTGAAGAATTTGGAATTATTGCGGCGACGTTCCACTGTGGCCTCGAAGGGTTCGCCACTCCTGACCCGAGATCCAGCGAGCCAGAACATCTCATCCTAATGGGTTGTCCTGAGTGCATCCCACGACCAGCGGTATAGATCGGTACAGGTCGGTACAGGCCTGAATGCATCCCACGAGAAGCCCCCAAGAGGCCCAAGAGGCCACAAAACGGCCCCCAAGAGGTCTCTAAACTGCCTCGAAGAGGCCCCCGATAGGCCTCCCACAAGATCCCAACGAACATCTAATAGTAGCCTTCGTACCCACAGTTCAGGCACAGTGGTGGAATGGGCCGAAGGCCGTTCGATACATTGAGGTTCGCTGAGGTGACGGCGGCGCCAGGTAGGATGTGAGGATGAGGTCGAGGAAAATGACGAGGCAAGAAATGGAGGCAGGAGGAGGGCCTGCACCCAGCACCAACTACAAGCGTAAAGACGACGATAACGATGACTCTTATACAACCTAAGGAATTTCTCATGCGGGGTTTCACCGTCGGATTCAGCCACCGTGGCTCTGGCCCGACATGGAATGCCCCAAGGCTCATGCAACCCTGAGAGGCCAAAACATTGTATTTCGTAAGTGCCCATGCAGGCCCTCGATTTTCCGGGTGCTCTCGGGCGGTATAGGTCGGGATTTCTCACGTGGGCCTCCAGGACGGTCCCCTCGCTCAGGAGGGCCCCCGAACGGGCCAGAGAAGCCCCGGGACGCCGCCCAGACGGTCCATGAGGGCCCAGAATCGCTGAAAAATCGCTCTAACACGCCCACGAAGGCCTTCACACGGCCCCAAAGGCTTCCAAAAGGCCTCCCAAGAGGGCCCCAAAGGGCAAAAACCATTGATTTCCCTACGGTTTAAATGATGCTGGCGTTCTCGCCCTTTCGGTCTCCCGATGCTCCGAAACAACCCGAGAGGCTCCCAATATCGCCCCAAGACAGCCGACGAGTCCTCCAAGAGGGCACCAGAACTGCCGGGAGAACGCGTTTCACGGGCGCTTGCCTGGGGAACATTCGGCGGCGCGTTTCGAGCCGGGGGGTGGGCCCCTCCCCCCAACACTTGGCGCCGTCGAATAAAACCAGGGGGGCTCCTCCCCCCCTCCCCGAACCCCTCCCCCCTCCCAAGGAGAGGGGGGGGGGTTCAATCCTCCCCCCCTCTCTCCCAGGGGCGGGGGGGCTCAAAACCCCCTCCTCTCCCCCCCCCCTCGGCGACGGCACCGGCGCTGGCGGCCGCCAGCAGCGTTCACGGCGGGGACGCAGCGACGATGACCAGAAGCAGCCCAGGGGAGGGGGTTTGAACCCCCCCCCACCCCCTGGCGCCGGGAGGAAAGGGGGGGTGGGGTTTGAACGCCCTCCCCCTCCTGGCGCCGGCGCTGGCGGCGGCCAGCAGCGCCGGCGCTGGCGCCAGCGACGGCGGGGACGCAACGACACTTACCACCAATACCCCCCCCCCCACCACCACCACCACCGCCTCAACCCACCACCACCACCACCAACAGCACCACACAACCACCACCACCACCACAGCCACCACCACCAGCACAACCACCGCCACAACTCACCATCACCACAACCACCACCACACAAACCCACCACCACTACCAGCAGCACAACCCACCACCACCACCACAAACCACCACACCACCACCACGACCACCACCACCGGCACCACCACCACCACCACAACAAACGTCCACAAACCACCGCCACCACCACAACCCACCACCACCACCACAAACAACCACCACACCACCACCACAACCACCACCGCCACAACTCACCGTCACCACCACCACCACCACAAAAACCCACCACCACTACCACCACCACCACAATCTCCCACAACACCACCATCACCGCCACAACCACCACCACTACCAGCAGCACAACCCACAACCACCACAAACCACCACACCACCACCACCACCATCGCCACCACCACCACCACCAGCACCACACCCACAAACCACCGCCACAGCCACAACCCACCACCACCACCACCACAAACCACCACCACACCACCACCAAACCACCACCACCGGCACTACAACCCACCACCACCACCACCACACCACCACACCACCACCACACCACCACCACCAACACCACCGCCACCACCACCACCACCACCACCACCACCACCACCACAACCACCACCACCCCCACCACCCACCGCCACAACCACCACAACAAACCACCACACCACCACCACCACAAACCACCACCACCGCCACAAGCACCACCACGACAACCCACCACCACCACCACCACCGTCCCCGTCGACGCTCCCCGCCACCGCCGCCCGCCGCCGCAGGCGCTGGCGCCGGCCCAGAAATGGAAATCGTCGTCCCCGCCGCCGTCGCCAGCCGCCGCCGACACAAGCGCCGGCCCGAGGAGAGGGGAAGCAGAGGAGGGGAGGGGGGGGGGTTCGAAACCTCCTCCCCCCCAGTCACGGGGGGGTGGAGGGGTCTGGTTTCACCCCCCCCCCTCCAAGCGACCACAGAACCCGCTCTTGCAAACTGCCCAAGAGAGCCCCAAGATGGCCCACGGGGCCTCTGAGACGGCCCACGAAGTCCCCAAGATGGCTCCAAGAGGGGGCCCAGCCAGACAGGGGACCCGAACGGACATGCTGAGCCCTCAGCCCCGAGAGGCTTTCAGGAGGCCTCCAAGAAGCCCTCAAGAGGCTCCAACAAGCCCCTAAGAGGCCCTCAGAAGGCCCCAAGAGGCCCCCAAGAAGCCTCCAAGAGGCCACCAGGAAGCCCCAAGAGGTCCACAACACGCTCCTACGTGGCCCACGAGGCCCTCTAGAGGCTCCCAAGAGGCCCCAAACTACCCCCCAGAGGCCCCCAAGAGCACTCCGACCGCAAGCATCATCCCTAAAGACTCTGACCCTAAACCGACGCACGGTGGCGGGATGGGCCGAAGGATATTCGATTCGCCGCCCCCTGTTGATTTATCACACTGGTGCCTGGCGTGCTAGATCCTATACGGCTTGATGTTGATTCTTTTCCAAACGAATCCCCCCTGGGGCTTCGGCCCAGCGCGCCAGAAGGCTTGCCTGGAGGTGGCTGCAAACGTTTTTCCCGCTCCAGATGGCTCCACGACGGCCCAAGATGGCTTCCAAGGCAGCCAGGATGGCCCTCAAGTTCGCGCACACATGATCGAAGATGGCCTCCAAGACGGCCCAAAAGCGTCCAAGATTCCTCCAAGATTCCTCCAAGTTCGCCCAAGAAGCCTCCAGGACGGCCAGAGACGGCCCCAGAGGTCCCCAAAGGGGCCTGCAAGACGGCCCAAGAGGCCTCCAAGAGGGCTGGAAGATGCCAACGTCATTGATTTACCTTTGGTTTCTGAAAGGTTCTGCCCTCTGCTTCTTTTCGGCCTTCCGACGGCCCAAGAGGCCCCCAAGATCGCCCGACCATGTCCCAAGGGCCTCCAAGATGCCCAAGTGGCCTCTAAGACGGCCCCAGGAGGGCCTCAAGATGGTTCAAGAAGCCTCCAAGGCGCCTAAGATGGCCTCCGAGACGGCCCTGAAGCGTCTCAAGAGGGCCCCAAGTGAGTTCAGAGAGGCATCCAAGACGGCCTCCGACGGCGTCAGACGGGCCAGGAACATCCGAAGACGGCCCAAGAGGCCCCCAAGAAGCCCCCAAAGGCCCCCAAGGGGCCCAAGGAGTCTTCCAAGGGGCCTCCAAGAGGCCCACGAGAAGCTCCCAGAAGGCCCCAAGAGTCCTCTTCCTCCTCCTCAGCCTCCTCTGCCTCCTCTTCCTCCTCCTTCTCCTCCTCTTCCTCCTCCTCCTCCTCCTCCTCCAGCTCCTCCTCCAGCTCCGCCTCCTCCTCCTCTCTATTGTTACTCCTTCTTCTCCTCTTCTTTCTCCCCCGCGTGTTCCCCGAAGGGTTTCCGCAGTGGCTGGGGGAGCACAGAGTCCGATAACTTGGCAGAGCTCTGGCCACAACGTTCGGCCACATCGGCGATTCCAAAAGGCAGGGGGGCGGCGGTGATTGGCCGTATGCGTCTTCGATGAGTGCGTCGGAGTGTATTCGCTTCTTCAATCGGCGGTGGACAAACCTCCCTTTAGTAAATCTCCCCTTAGTGAAAACGGCCTGGGACCGAAACCAACGGACCTGGACCCGCAAAAATGACGGCCGCGACGCCCTCTCGCGAACCGGAAACGACCAATTCCTCAATCGACGTGTCAGGGTAGGAGGTCTGTCCACCCCCGATTCAAACTGCTGCTCCCGATGCAACGTTGGCCTCATTTCTGGATCGGTGCCGCGCTCAAGTCCTTCGGAAGATGGCGCTCTCGCCCTGGCGCGGACCACGCTTTTGGGTCCGATGCCTTCCTCGTCGCTGCTGTCCCCCGTCCCCTTTCTGATTGCAGAGCTAATGTGGGATGACGACTTATAAACAATTAGAGAGAACGATTTAAATCACAGTTTGCTGCTATTTCTGCATAATTTTCTGACTGGAGGAGAAAGATTACAAACATAGTTTTCCAGCCCGCGGCCGGTTTTTTCTAATCGTCATCCTGGGCGCCGCCGCGTGAACACGACCCCCGGTCATTTATTAATCGTCACCCTCCACTAACGTGGGTGAACCCCTGCGACGGCCATCCGGGGATCAGGGCTTTCTGTAACGCCCCACTTGCCGGACAGAAGAGGATTAGACGCAGCGACAGGGGATGGGCGGAAAGGGTAGGATGTAGGATTTCAGATGTGGCGCGAGTGCAGCCAGCTTGCGCCCTCATTTCTCTCCCCCGCTCCTCTTCCTCTTCCTCCCCACCCCTCCAGCAACCGCTGCTGGCCACGGGCCCGGCCTCAGGGGTGCACATGGGACGGCCGAGATTTCTGGTGATCCTCTCCACCAGCTCTCGGAACCTCCGTCCCTCCACCTTCTCGCCCGCTCTCCTCCCTTCCCTCCCTTCCCTCCCTTCGGCCACGCCCTCCTCCCCCCTCTCCCTTCACTCACCTCCCCTGCCTCCCCTGGGCCCCCTCCCCCCCGCCCCTCTTCCCCACACTCCCCGCCCCCTCTCCCGATCCCTCCTCCCGCAAAGGTATGTTTATATCAAGAGAGCGGCCCGGGTGGCACGCATGAGCGCCGCCTGCACGCAACACTCCGGCAACCTTGCGACTGTCTCTTGGCCCAAGTGCTTCCGCCTCCTGCCTCCGCCTCCCGCCTCCCCGTGCACCCCTCCCGTGCACACACCCCTCCCTCCCGCTCCCTCCCGGCCCCGAGGAGGAGGAGGAGGAGGAGGAGGAGGAGGAGGAGGAGGAGGAGGAGGAGGAGGAGGAGGCGGAAGAGGAGGAGGAGGAGGAGAGGAGGAGGAGGAGGAAGGAGGAGGAGGAGGAGGGGGAGGAGGAGAGGAGGAGGAGAGGGGGAGGGGGAGGAGAGGAGGAGGAGGAGGAGGAGGAGGAGGAGGAGGAGGAGGAGGAGGAGAGAGGAGGAGGAGGAGAGGAGTGGAGGAGGGGAGGAGGAGGAGGAGGAGGAGGAGGAGGAGGGGGAACGAGGCCCCTCCCCCGCCCCCGCCTCGTGGCGGCCCGTCGCCCGCGAGCGCCGGGGCCCCCGAGGAGGCGGCGGCGCCCGGGGCGGCGGCGCTGCCGGCGGAGCTCCCCGCCCGCCGGGGGCCCTGCAGCTCGAGCCGGACGCCCACCGCCTGCGGGGGCCGCAGCGGCCCTCCGTCTCCGTTTTTTTTTTTTTTGTTTTTTTTTTTTTTTTGTATTTTTGTCCTTCTCTTTTCTTTCCTTCTCCCTCCCTCCCTCGTCTTCTCGTCGCCTCTCCCTCCCTCCCTCATCTTCTTGGTGACTGCTGCCCATCGTTCCTCTCTCTTCCTCACCCATCTCGCCCTGTTTTTCATCATCTTCTTCTTCTTATTCTTCATAGTATGATTATTCTTATTATGTTTATGTGTCTTCTTTAACTTGCACACTTGTTTACTCGTCTCATTTTTTCCGTCTCCTTTTTCTTCTTCTCTTCCACACTTGTTTAAACTTCTTCCCCTTCCTCCTGTCCATCTCTTCCGCTGCACTCATCCCACCAAGGACTCGTACTCTTCCGTGTCCCCCTTCTCACTTCGCTAATCTTTCTCTTCCTTCTCCTAATCTTCATCCACCTCCTTCTGGTCTTCCTGCTGCCGCGATGTTCGAGTTCCTGCTTTGCTGTGGGCAGGAGGAGGAGGAGGAGGAGGAGGAGGAGGAGGAGGAGGAGGAGGAGGAGGAGGAGGAGGAGGAGGAGGAGGAGGAGCAAGATGAGGAGTATGATCGGGATCGGGAGCGTGATGATGCTGACCATGAAACTGATAATGGTGATGCTGCGGCTGATGATGATGCTGTTGCTGTTGTGGCTGCTATTGTTATTGTTGTTGTTGCTGCTGTTATTGTCGTTGTTGCTGTTGCTGCTTGTGCTGATGACGATTATGATGATGATGCTGCTGATGACGATGATGAGGATGCTGATGCGAATGCAGCTGATGATGATGATGATGATGATGATGATGATGATGATGATGATGATGATGATGTTGACGATGATGATGATGCTGCTGCTGCTGATGATGATGATGATGATGATGATGATGATGATGATGATGGTGGTAGTGGTTGTGGTGGTGATGATGATCGTTCGGAAGAAGGCGTGGATGAGGATGAGCAGGATGAGGATGAGGAGGAGGAGGTGGAGGAGGAGGAGGAGGCGGAGGAGGAGGGGGCAAGGGGGAGGAGAGGAGAGGCAGAGGAGGAAAGGGAGGAGGAGAGGAGAGGAGGAGGAGGATGAGGCGGAGGGGGTAGGAGGAGGAGGCGTAGAGGATGAGGCGGAGGAGGAGGGGAGGAGAAGTAAGATGAGGAGGAGGAAGGATGAGGAGAGGAGGCGAAGGAGGTGAGGAGGAGGAGGAGGAGAAGAGGAGGAGGAGTGAGAGGAGGCGGGGAGAGAGGAGAGGAGAGGGAGGAGGGAGGAGAGGAGAGCGAGGAGGAGGCGGAGGAGGAGGAGGAGGAGGGCGGGGAGGGAGGAGAGGAGATGAGGAGGAGGAGGATATGAGAGGAGGATGAGGAGGAGGCGGAGGAGGGGTAGGAGAGGAGGAGGAGGAGGAGGAGGGGAGGAGGGGCGAGGAGGAGAGGAGAGGCGGGGAGGAGAGGAGGAGGGAGAGGAGGCGGGACGAGAAGGGGGATGAGAGGAGGAGGAGAAGAGAGGATGAAGATGAAGATGAGAGGAAGAGGAAGAGGAGATGATGAGATGATGCTGCCTGATGATGATGCATGATGATGATGATGATGATGATGATGATATGATGCTGATGATGATGATGATGAGATGCTGATGATGCTGATGAGATGATGATGATGATGATGATGATGATGATGATGATTGAAAGTGTGCCACATTATCACAGTCCGCATCGGAGTCCTCTGCAGCTTTTCTGGCTTGGGATGGGAGGGCCCGGCCCGCTCGGTGCCTCTGCCGCCGCGATCGCGGCGTTCCTCGGTGGCCTCACCGGGGGCTGGTGGGCCGGGCCCGAGGCAGCGGGGCAGGGCTCCTGCGGGCACGTCCTCGACTGCCCACCCTGCGCCTGCCCGGCGCCCGCCTGCCCCACACTGACCTGCCCGCCGGCGGCGCCTTGCCTGGCCTGCGTCTGCCCTGCGGCGATCTGCCCAGAGGCGAGCTGCCCCTCGCAGGCCGCCTGTCCGGCGGCGGTCGCCTGCCCCGCCTGCACCTGCGGCTGGGCGACTTCGGCGGTGTGGGCCGCCGCTCTGGCTGCTGCGACCCTAGCCTTGGGTCTCGCGGCGGCCTGCCGCCTGTTGTGCCACGGCCGCTGGGTCGGCACGGCGACGGCCGGGGCCTCGTTTGGGGCTCCCGCCACGCCCTCCGCCCTGGACGCGGGCCGCGCGGCGCCGTCGCCGCTGGCGCTGGGCGACCGCGACGCTGGGGGTGCTGGCCTGGCTGTTGTCGACGAGCCTGACGTTTGGGTGCCGCGGCGTCGCCGCTGATGGCTGCCGTCCCTCAGGCCCTCGACATCGAGCAGCAGCAGATTGCCGAGGCGTTCGACGACGACCCGAACTTTCGGTGGCACCACCGCATCCTCCTGGTGAAGATCGGCGACGATGGGCGCTGGGTGTATGCGACTCCAACCCTCGACGTCCAGGTGCGGAACCTCTCGACCTCGCGCATCGTGCCGCTGGTTCGAGGGTGTCCGATCCCGCCGCGCCTGCGGGGGAACTTCTTCGGGTTCGACCCGCTGGGGGAGGACGAGCTGGCGAGCCTGATGCAGCAGGCCCACGCGTTGGCGAGCATCTTGGGTGGAGCTGCGCCTGCTGCTGCTGCATCGGCGGCCGTCTGGCACGTCGCCGACCCCGCCGACGAAGACTTCGGCACCGCCGTCGAGGTCGCCGTCACCTCCAACCCCGGGCGCTTCGTCTCCCGGGGTCACACCAGGCTCGCCAGGATGGACGACCAGAGGTGGGTGGCGGTCGAGCGGCTGCTGCCCGGCGACCTGGCGGCTTGGAAGGAGGAGAAGCAGACGGGCGCCGGCCGCGACCCGCGGGTGCTCGCGATCAGCCGCGACGCGCAGGACGCCCGCTACCTCGACTTCAAGGAGGGCCTGGCCTCGCTCTCGGAGCTCCCGGTGAAGACGGGCCGCGACGGGATGACGACGGCCGACGCCAAGGATTGGCCCTTCCGCGGGTCCTCGGCCGCCCTCGAGCTGCTGCGCGGGATTCGTGCCTTTGGGGAGTCCCTGGAGAGCTACCACTCCGCGTGGGCCAGGTCGTCTGGGGTCAGCGCCGAGGCTGGCGTCGCCAAGCATCACCAGAGCCTCGTGTCTGTGCTGCACCACGCGCTCTGCTTCGACCAGCTCGAGATCTTTCAGAGCGCTGCGATGGAGATGCTGGCTCGGCGGGTACTCTACATCGAGCGCGCGGTCAAGAAGTCGCCCAAGAACCCCGACTTCCGGGGCCTCGAGATGATGATCCACAGCCGCCTCGACATCGGCGCCACCCTGGCGGTCGGGGACTTCGCCCGCTTCATCTCCGACGAGCAGAAGACGGAGGCCTTCGCGCTGAAGCAGCAGCGCCTCTACGCCGAGGAGAGCGGCCGCAAGAAGGGCGGCAAGGACAACGAGTAGGGCCATCTGCGCTGGCCTTCCGCCTCGCAGTGGTGCTGCCGCTGCTCGGATGGATCGTCGTGGTGCTTCCCGTGGGCAGTGTGGACTGTTCCCGCTCCCGCGGCCCAAGTCATTCTTTTCTTTGCCCGGCTCAGGGTCGGGTCGGGAGCTCGTGGAGGCCGGCGCAGTGGGCGCGTTGCAGCTTGACGCCGCCGCCGCCCTTAACGCTCTGGCCGCCGCGCGCGCCCGTGGGCTGCCCAGGCCGGCGTGGCCCAGCCGCCTTCCCCACGGGCGGGAGTTGTCTGGCGCCCAGCTCTCGACGTGGAGGCGCCTCGCGGACGTGGCCCTTGCCGCGGGCCCGAGGCCACTCGAGTTCGACCTCTTCCCCTCCGGCGCCCTGCCGGAGCTCCTCAAGGCAAAGGACCTCTACGACGCGGACGTTCCCTTGGCCGTGGCGCCCTACGACCCAGACCGCGTCTCCGTCACCTCTAAGCGGCTGCGCCCGAGGGGCGCCCGGCTGCTGGTGGGCGCCGACGCGGCCCGCTACCTCGCCGACCCGTCGCTCATCGCGCTGGGGGATGCCCGGCCTGAGGGGGTCGAGCCAGTTCGCCCCCACTGGGATCGGCGCCTGGCTTCGAACCCCCGCCTCCTCCGTGACTTCGTGCAGAGGCTCGCCGACTGCGGCCTCATCTGCTACAGGACGAGGGTCGCCGCCCGCTGCGGGATGTTCTTTGTCAAGAAGAAGTCTGGACAGCTCCGCCTTGTCCTCGATGCGAGGCCGGCGAACGCCGTCCACCGCCGGGCGCCCTACACCAAGCTGGCCACCACCGGGGCCGTGGGGTCGCTCATCCACGACCCAGGTTATGCGGCCGCCGCTGCCCTGGACGCCGCCGGAGTTGACGGGGCGGCTCAGCCAGCCCCGCCTCGGGAAGCGTCCCGTCCCAAGGAGCTGTGGGGAGGCTCCATCGACCTCCAGGACGGCTTCTATCAGTTCCTGGTGCCGACGGTCTCGCACTACTTCGGCCTGGGGCTCCAGGACACGGCGGGCGCGCTGGGGGTGGAGACGGTGTTTGACCCCGACCTCGGGCGCGACGTGGCGGTGGCCGAGGACACCCTCCTGGAGGCGTGCTTCGCGGGCTTGCCCATGGGCTGGAGCTGGGCGCTGTTCTTCTGCCACAGCGCCGTGTCCGAGGCATGCCGGCGGGCGCAGCGGTCGCTGGGGCTTCCCGAGTACCTCCTGGGGGATAGGGAGCCGCCCCCGCCGCTGGCCGCTGGGACAGCGATCTGCGCCCCCTACGTCGACAATGCCAACGTCATCGGGGGTGACAAGGCCTCCGTCGCCCGGCTCCTCTCCGCGGTTTTCCACGAGCTGGAGGAGGTGGGCCTCGCGGTGCACGAGCGCGTCGACCCCTGCTTGGACTTCGAGGCGCTCGGTCTGCACTTCGACGGGCGCCGCTCTTGGATCCGCCCCACCTCCCGACGATCGTGGAGGCTTTGGTATGGGCTCGGCACTTTGCTCCAGGTCAAGGCCATCTCCCCGGACCGCATGCACCGTCTCTTGGGGC